GCTGTTATTTTTTCTAGAAAGTGTCCATGTTTTCATTTCTAGAGGAAAATTCGGACACATTGTGGCAGTTGGACGAAAAATCCTAGATCATTCTGGTTTACAGCAAATGAACATACCTCAACTTTTCCAAAACTGTCTACTTTATTCTGAAAGTGCCAGTTTGGAAATTCCAGATTGCCGAAATCTTAGAAATGAACGCGTAAAAACCTTTGGGATATAGGTTGGCGTCTGTTAGGAAATCTAAGTTGATACTCCCAAGAAGCCGCTAAAGCTTTTCCATTACAGAACCCGTACACAAAAATAATATCGGCGTACTCATCATTGCTAAATTCCATTTCACAAAACTCAAAAATGGAAAAAATAAATTTTTGACTGACTTCTACAAAAAAAAAATGGTAGTAACGATAACAACCGTATAACACATAACTTTGACAAGGATCTCCCAAGAAACGTCAAGTTGGTATCAAGGCCTCCTATTTTATTTTGAAACTAATCGTATCTCGGCTCTTCATGAATCTAATTTGATTTATTTTTATGTTTACGGAAACAGTGAACTCTAGGAAAAACACAAGAATAATTATTTTTAACAGATTGAAGGTAAAATTCGAAACATAACGCCACTAGTCCCGTGTACCTCCGTCACTGGTGCACGTTAATTTTATGTAAAGGCTTTTGAATGTGGACAATCCACATACCAAATTTTAGTTCATTACAGTTAACGGTTTTGAAGATATTAAAAAAAATATTTTTAAACCTAACGTATCTTTTTAATGAAGCCCTCGAGGAAAAAATGTTACATAGAAGACCTTCCATAAAATGCGGTCACGACTTGTGAATCACCCTGTATATAGCGTGTCCAAATAGTGTGTCAAAGCTCAATATCTTCGTTAGAGTTGCAGACAAAAGTTAAATACAAAAGTTGCAGGCAGAGCTAAGGGCTACAACCTAAAATTATTTTTACCTATACAGGGTGTCCCATAAATTAGTGGCAATGAAAACTTGTATTTTTTAAATGGAACACCTTGTATTTCTGTGAAATTGTGCCTGTTGAAACATCCATTTTTATGGAAAGTTCATTCGTCGGCGAACAGATCATTTTCAAAAACATATTCGTAGTCATAGATTTTTCTTGTGCCCAGCCACAAAATGTCAGCCTAAGTCCGTAATCGTTTTTGCTTAGCTCTTGGTGCAATTGTACATGGTAGTGGTGCATTTTTTAAGTATACTGTGAACGGATGATTTGCTAATGTCTACATCTTTTGAAATAACTTTCTTTCTTCTCATATGCCACATTTCCTGTACGCTCGAAACGCTGCATAAGATTATCGAGAGTTTTTCTACACGATTGTCTTCTGTCTGTGCGACGTTGATTATAATATAATCTTATTACCAATAAAGAATTTTTGTCACTTGCTTCTAGCTTAACTTTACTACTGAAGTTTACGATGACAGATTTGTCAAAAAAGCATGGCCAACCTATATATTTTTTTAATAATTCCAATATTATTATGATTTTCACTTATAAAACATAGAATATCTTTAAAATACTAGGTTTAGGTATAGGGAATGCTTAATAAAACTGAAAAGGCATAAAAAACCCATTGTATAGAGATATAACATACAGGATGTTGGAATTAAATTCTTCGAGAAAATTATATCTTTCCGTTTTAACTCACCCTGTATGCCTCGGATGATTAATAATAATAATATATTTATTGCCCAACAGATATATCCATTTCAAGGACAATGTAATTGCATACAATTTGACGTTACATTATTTTTTACTACAATCATAGCTCGCCCAGTTTCTGAATACACAGCACAAACCCCCGAAACCATGCATTGGCAGAATGGAAAAGAAAAGGCGCTTCTAAAAATCAACAGAAATACAGGGTGTTCCATTTAAAAACCGGCTGTGGAACCCGGTGGTCGAAGTATTGGAATGGGTGGATCGGTGGGTGATCAAAATGAATTATTCGAAAACGGAGACTATCTGTTGTTCTGAAAAACGTAGCGGCGCCCCGTCTCAGGTTTCAGTGAACGTAGTTCACGTATCATGAGAAAATTCTATGAAATATCTTGGTGTTACTCTTGAAAACGGGGTGACCTGGCAGAAGCACACTGAAGCGTTAAAAACTAAATTCCAAACTACATTCCGGCAACTCTACTCTATGTTATATAGTACCTTAGAATTAAGTTTGATCAACAAAGTTCAGCTATCCAAGATGGTTATTAGACTAGCGAACACTTACGCGTGTGCGACTTTCTCGCGGTGTTTTTTCTCCAATACGCATAGGCGTAGTCTGCATGTTTCGGAGAACAGAACAATCACTGACGCCCCATGGTATGGGGCCTCCACAGAGACCTCGACATCCCTTACTAAAGGAAATATATCAAACAGCAAGCGTAGCTATGCTGCAGTCAAGCGGAATCGCATAGCAACCCTTTGTTGCGAGAGCCAGTTGACTACATAGTCGAGCAAATTTGCAAGCACACAGACCGCGGCTCGCACTGTGAGCAAAATTAAATCGTGCGCCTTTACGTGCAACCAAAGTTACAATGTTCTTCAACAACCATTCTCTAAATTAATTTTAGAATCATTTTAAAATTCCCGAATAGTAAACTGATGGATAGTTGCTTTGCAACATGGAAAATTTTACCCAAATTCAAATCTCGACTTTATCGGAACGGAAAGAGATATCGAGTTGCGTATAGGGGGAAGATCTTGACCAACTCTTTGAGAACATGTACAGGGTTCGATCTGTATATTTCTGTCATTTATCCACTTATACAGGGTGAGCAAAGGGAGTCATGTTTCTTTTTAGCAAAGTTTGGGGCTGTCAGATTCTTAATTTTTTATCTTGGACATTTTTGTATGTATCTTTGTGATCTTTGAACTATCCTAAAAAGGTGATTTCTCAAACTTTTTGAAAGTTGGCTATAACTCAAATTATCGGATTTTAAAAAAGTGTTACTTTTATCCCTAAAAAAGGGACTTCTTTGATGTTTCTCTTGAGAATGGGTGTTTTTTCTCATACGGTTACATACAGTGGAATTTCTTAAGCCCGAGCAAACATTGAAGCACTCATTGAACGTTATTGCATCCAGTGGCGTACAGTAAAAATTCTCTACTTTGACATTATGTAATTTAAACCGAATTTATAAATTTTACTATAGTGGAAATCACGAAAGATGACGATTACGTGATCAAATTAGTCTGTAGTAAAGGCAAACGACAGCGATTTGTGAATATTTTTAATGAAGTTTCAGATATGTTAGACAGAGACAAACAGAATTTTATTGTCTAAACAAACTGTATTGCTAATTTGCATGTATCCGACAGAGATAGACGATGTTTTCAGGATGCATGATCGATCATATTTGAAAGATATAAGATACATATTTAGGTTATGTTAAAGCAGGTTAGGTTGTTTTAGAATGATACTGTTAAGATATGCACTATCGCATGTTACGGTTTTGGCAACGTTGCGTTGTCTGATAGGTTAGGTTGGCATACCATATCGGGTGACAGTTTGAAGTTGCTGTTGTATGGTGTTACAGATGTAATAAAGTGAATGTTCCGTGATCAAGTGTCCGTGCGGGTGCGTCTATCTGTTCTGCACCTCCTCAATATTACTAATAAAATATAGTGATTACTCCGGCATCGTCTGCACTCTGCAGTTTTATTTCTCTCATCCCCCAAGGCTTCTAATAATCACCAACAGATACTTTGGCCTTTATTGTTCTTGTCTTAAGGTTAATCGATGCAGACCCTGAGATTTTTGTCTTCGCCAAGAAAAGCATGGCGGGACGATTTGCGGGATTGCAAGTAGTGATGAACAGCATCAATGTTACTGATAATCCCGCAGATGTTCTTGAAACAAATTTTATTTTAGATTCTGTTCCCTCGAGTCCACCCTCCACCCGGACATTCCGAGAGTGGAGTCAGTTTACGTCGGGAATTCTTAGTACTGGAGGGATCCATCATTATTAATTTTTTTATTGGGGGAGATAACCGACTGCGTAGCTTAGGTGTGGAAAGATGCGGACATTTATAAGACACCCTGGGAAAAGCGAGCGGGTGGTACCGCCTCGGTCGACTGGTCCTTGTCTACCAGCTTCATTTTGGGTGTTGATGTTAATAATATTAAAGTAGCCCATTGGTAGACTTGTGCCGCTACCCGGCAATCGGTACTGAGGTATTCCTTAACGCGTGTACAATCACTTGAACGGGAAGAAGTTGTATACTGGATACAACACCTTCCGGAACAAGCATTTGCTACGACCTCGCTCAGTAAGGGTTTATGTTTCATCCGAAAACATGCAATTTTTCAAGATCAAAAATTGAGAATCTAACATAGCCCAAAACTTGGCTGAAAAAAAAATGACTTCCTTTGCTCACCTTGTATAAGTGGATGAATAAAAGAAATATAACGGTCGAACCCTGTAGGTGTTCTAAAAGAGTTGAACAAGAACCTCACCGCAAGTCGATATATTTTTCCGTTCCGAAAATATCGAGATTTCAATTTGGGTAAAATTTTTCATGTTGCAAAGCACCTGTCCACCAGTTTAGTTAACAGTGCTAAGGTGTCCCTCAAACTGTCTCACTTCCTCCTCTTTGGCCTCCCTCTTTCCTTCCTTTCTCTCTTCCCTTCTTTCTCCCTGACTTTGTCTGGTATCTGGCCAACCAGACCTGACAGACCTACTGACGTACAATACTTTAACCAAGAGCAAAGGTCCTACGGACCGCTCAGACAGACAATGACGAATAAAAGTCATCGCGCCCCTTAAACTGGTTTGGCCTGTTGGTCTTTCTCTAGTTTTATTCACACTGTCTATATGCCTTCTCTTGGGGTATCTCCTCTTTACTCTGATTAGAGTCACCTTGTTGAGAGAAAAATCAAGGAAGTTTGGTCATGAGAAATTATTTAATCTGGGAATAACACATAATTTATTAGCGTATATTTTGAAACTCATATCATATTTAACATAATTTTCAGGGTACCCTCATGTTAGCAGAACATCCAGAGTCCTTCCAAAGACTTGGATACTTATTGGGCCGCAACATTGCGTTAGCTTGGCAAGCACACAACGACATTTTGACCTTTAGTCCTAGTAAGACTGGTCCCTTTAGTCTTATATGTGCTCCACTGCTTTTCCATTTGCAACAATATCCTGAATACCATGAAAAAATTATGGAACAAGTGAAGTGCGGTACACTCGATTATGATAAGGTGAGACTTTATGAACAAGTTATACAGGGTCCGGCACAAAGGACGGATGTTCTTGAAATGGCTAGTACTCTCCGTCTATTCGGGCGAGAGTGGTGAGGAGAGTGTCGTTCGACTCGGGCGTTCCAACATTTTCATCAGTAGACATTTTCGCGTATGACAGTTTTGTCCGACATACTAAGTCTATCACGGCTGTACAGCGTGAGTTTCGTCGCCACTTTAATATTCATCGGAATTGAGCTGTTCCTTCTCGAAAAACCATTCTTCGTTGGGTTCAATCACTTCGTACACTTCGTGTACTGATCAACAAAAGACTACCAGGAGCTTCACGAACGGTTCGAACCACTGAAAATATGGAACGCGTTCGATAAGCCCTCCTTTGCAGTCCGGCTCGATCTGCTCGGCAACATGCTGCTAAACTTCGCCTCAGTGATTTTTCGGTAAGGTGAATATGCATATGGAACTCCACTTTCACCCCTACAAATTGGCCATTGTGCAACAGTTACAGCCTGGAAATTACACACAACGAATGAACTTAGCAGGTGAGATGGAAGCACTTATCGAGCAAAATTAGAACCTCATTTTGTTCATGAGTGATGAAGCTCACTTTCATCTTAACGGCATGGTTAACCAGCAGAATTGCCGTTATTGGGCTAATGTAAATCCGCGACAGTTACATGAAAGACCGCTGCACACCCCAAAAGTGACGGCCCTTACTCCTTCGATGACGGTAATGGCAAGGCTGTTACCGTGAACTCTGAGCGTTATGTCGAAATGATCACCATCTTCTTTTCACCTGAATTCCGACAACCACGTGTTCCATTTCGACGTGTGTGGTTCCAACAGAACGGGGCGATCGCCCACACAGCCAGAGCAACGATGAACGTTATTCGCCCTCTCTTCCGTGATCACCTTATTTCCAGGTTTGGTGGTGTTCATTAGCCTCCTCGGTCCCCAGATTCATCCAACTGCGATTTTTTCCTATGGGGACACATCAAGGCTCGTGGATACGAGCACAAGCCCTGAGCTCTGGACGAGTTAAAGGAGGCAATTCGCTTGGAAGTCGCCCAAGTTGAGATAATGATGTTGGAGAGAGTCTACGCGAACTTTCAAGAACGCCTCCAGCAATGCATCGTCAAACACGGTCACCACATGATTGATGTGATTTTCCACACTTAATTGTGATTAATGCTATTTCACTGTGAACCCGAATCTGTCAATATTTTTTTTTTAATATTACCGACTTTGTGATTTTTTAAAAACCGTCCGACCTTTGTGCCGGTACCAGTTATATTAGTTTCTCTGTGGCATATAGCTATTGCTTTCCCGTTAATATAAGATTATTCCAACAAGAGTTTCTGACATTCCCGAACGGCTTTTTTGCAGTGGACCAGATTAATACGTAGCTAGGCTAAGTAGGTAAACAGCTCCTAGAAGTCAGAAACTCCTTGTTGGTTCAAGCCGATAGATTGTTGTTGTTTTAGATTTAGATTTATTTAGCATTAATCCTACAATATCCATGTTACACAGTATATCATATAATATGTTATGTCTTCAAGACTACATATTTTTAACCAAAATTTCACTACTATGAATTCTCGTTTTCAAAATATTGTTTCAATTTCGCCTTGAACATTAGTCTAATCATATTAGACGAAAATACCCTTCGCTTGCGAAATAATTGTAAAGGCTGGTTTTATTGAAATAAGTTGTTGAAGGGTACACCAATTTTTGTAGGAAAACTTTTTATTCGACAACAAAGGATGACGCGTTTTTAGGAGTCAATCGAAAGTGTTGTCAGGAACCAAAAACTTCAAATAAGATTTTTAGGTATTTATGAGTTCTACAGAATGAGACCACACGTGAAAAGATCCGACTAATAGTAAATACGTTATGGCCGAAAACCGAGGAAAAATGCCGGTTTTGGCATTTGTTGCTAATGCTACGATAATTTTACGCAGCCACTTGAAATTCTTCAATTACGTAAGCTTCATACTTCTAAATAACCAGAACAAAATTGGAGTCGTTTGGTCAGGTAGTTTTTGAGAATTACTAATCATTATCCCAAAACAGCTGTCTTCTGACCATCACAACTAGTTTACTCAGCAATATACAGTGTTCGTTCAAAGGACATTTTTATAGCAGAATACACGAGTTTACCTTGCCTTCATGAATCACAAACCATCCCGAAAGATAAATAATTGTTATTTTTATGCGAAAAACGAAGGGTTACGTTTTTTTCTTCTAAACAAATTCAAACATTTCGTATTTGTGAGTAATTGTATTGAAAAACATACGTCATTATACAAATTTCTATCACCTTTTGTTGCCAAAAAACATTTTTTTCAAGATTTCTTCATACTCTTGTGTATACATATTTAGAGCTGACATTTTTACACTGTCACAGACGAGCCTTAACGTTTTAAAAATGCTCTGAACTCTTTATAAGGTTAACACGCAAACTGCAGACATAACTATGTTTCAAACTGTTTTGGACTAGTTAGTATGTAGCGTATGCTAAATGGCTGTATTCTACAGGGTGCGGCAGAGAGGACGGACGTTTTTGGGATGGGTAGTACTCTCCGCCTCCGTCTACGAGAGAGGTCGGGCGGGTGCCGTTTGACTCGTGAGATCCTAGCATTTTACCAGTTGTCGTTATGGAGCCTTGGACGGTGGAACACCGCGTTTTCGCCTATGAGTGATGAAGCCCAATTTCACCTAAACACCATGGTTAACCAGCAGAATTGTCGTTATTGGGCTAATGAAAATCCTCAACAGTTACACGAAAGACCGCTGCACAGCCCAAAAGTAACGGTTTGGTGCGCTGATCGCAAACTTGCATCACTGGCCCTTACTTCTTCGAAGACGGTAATGGTCGTTGATGTTACCGTGAACTCAGAGCGCTACGTCGACATGATCACCAACTTTTTTCTCCCTGAATTACGACGGCGACGTGTTCCAATCCGACGTGTGTGGTTCCAGCAGGATGGGGCGAGCGCCCACACAGCCCGAGCATCCATGGACGTTATTCGCCCTCTCTTCCCTGGTCGCCTTATTTCCAGGTTTGGCGATGTTCATTGGCCTCCTCGGTCCACAGATATGGATAAAATATGCGATTTTTTCTTATGGGGACACCTCAAAGCTAGAGTATACGCGAACAAACCCCGAACTCTGGACGAATTGAAGGGCAAAATTCGCGTGGAAGTCGCCCAAGTTGAGAGAGCGATGTTGGAGAGAGTCTACGCGAACTTCCAAGAACGCCTCCAGCACTGCATCAACGATTTCGGCCACCACATGCCTGATGTGATTTTCCACACTTGACTGTCTCAAATGCTATTTCCTTGTGAACCTGATACCATCAATAAATTTGTTTTCGAGTAAAAATTAAATATTTTATGATTTTTTTAAAACCGTCCATCCTCTCTGCCGCACCCTGTATATATAAAAATATCAACCAATTGTAGCGAACTGACCATCTGAAAGATTGAGCAAAATGCTCGGTGTTAGCCCTTATTATTTAAAGATTCAGCATCTTGTATATTTTTGAAGAGTATTCTAATTGTTTATAACAGATTTGATATGTTTCCAACGTTCGGTTGACATTTGTCAGGGTCAAGTACAGTGGTATAAAGATAACACTACGATTATGGGAAAGAGTTCGAATCCACAAAGCTAGTTTTTTTCTATTATTTTTTTTTTAATTTGGATAACTAAATGCTTTTCCCATTATGTGTACTTTTATTGCGATCAAACAGATTTTTGCACGCCATAGAGAATGTAAGCTTGCAAACAGGAAACATACGTATGATGTATATATTTTTTTAAATTACTTTTATAAAATTTTCGGTCATAACTTTTTTACTATTAGGTGGATCTCATTCTATAGGTCTCATAAATATCTAAAAATCTTATTTGAAGAGTTTTTTTGGTTCCGGACAATAATTTCGATTGAATCGCAAAAAACACGTTTTCCTATTCTTTTTTGCGCACGGCTTTTGTAAAATCGGGTCTAATAAGTATTTTTATATTTGTATTTGTTTTTATAAATATATTTTCTTTTATTTATTATTATTTCTTGTCGTTGTTGGCAGGTTCGAGATGTCGTGCGTCAAGGTTCGGGAATAGAGAAAACCATGGAGTTACAACAAGAATTAGCTCAAAATGCATTGGACGTACTCGACGAGTTCCCCGTGACCGATGTCAGACTGGCTCTTAAGAATATCATAAATTCTATGAAAACACTTTTGCCATAACGATATTAATTTTATTTATCATTACCAAAGATCTTACTCCCAAATAGTATATAGTCATGTGAGAAATAGTTGACTGCAAGTAAACAATGTGATTTTTGATTAGTCTTGATTATTTTCATAAAGGGGTAATTGTGATCATGAATTTTACAAAAATAACCAGTGTAGATGTTGTACAGATTTTAGAATGTATAATTTTAGATCTCCAGATGTGTAATATATAGAGTATTCTGCAATTTGGAGCTTTCTATTTCAGAAGCAGCTATGCTTCAAATAACAAAGCTAATTTGCTGCGAAACAATGCATACTCGTAAAAGTGAGGCAAGTATAGCCACAAGGCTACTCTTACACTTAACCTCACTGTTTTGGAAAAAAGTAACAAAGATACATTTATTCCCAAAAATAGGGAGGAAAAAATAGTAACGACAACCCTGTACGACCCTATAAAAAAGCAAAATAACATAACCTATAAAAAATCAGTGAATTAACAATAGCAACATTTAAACGGATCAAATGAAAGTCGCGGTTATAACATTAGTATACCTTTGAAACTATCACATAAGTTATATTTGACAAGTCTTCTGAATAGTATTTATTATAACGTATGTCCGTTTTGGCACAAAATATGCATCGGATTTTTTTTAATGAAGAAATTTATTTAAACACTAACTAGTTATCATAAATTATAACTCAATACTTAACTAAACTATACTATTGAACTATGTGGAGTGGCTTCTGCTCTACCAGACGCAACTTTGATCTAATGTCTCTCATGAGGTCCTGGACGGAATTCAGGTCAATTTCTCTTATTTTTTCGTAACTTTGCCGTCTTAGTTAATTGTTATTCCTCTTGGGCTTCCCAGCCTCCATGATAACCTTCCTAGACAGTAAAGCCCAAAAATCCTGTATGGGGCGAGTCTGCGGCAAGTTTGGAGGATATCGTTTTTGGGAACAAAAGGTATGTGTTGTTGTCGAAGCCAGTTTCGGGTATCACTTGAGTAATGGCATGATGCTAGGTCTGGCCAAAACATGATATGGCCATTAGCATAATGTTCGTGGGCAAACTGAAGCAATTTGGAAAGGAAGTTATCAAAATAGCTCCGACTATTCAAAACTTCACCCCTCGCTCTACCCACAAAAGGTTGGGATACACCCCTGTTAGAAACTGCGCACCAGACAAGGATTTTATTTGCAAATTTCGCTTTATGTTTGTATCTAACATTGTCCGGGCATTCCTCCATGTTGTCTGTTTCACTTCATATCAGGATCACTCAAAGTGATATACTTTTCGTCAGCTAAAATAATGATTTTTTCATTGGCAAAGTGTATCCGCCACAGTTGACGACAGCATCTTGGTACACGAAGGAATTGCGCTTGAGCGTATTTGGGGCATTCAAGTTTTTTCAATATTTAAGTCCATTCTTTCTCAGTTCCAACGATCTCGTACTCTTAGAAGATCTGTATTGACGAGCCATAAGTCTCCTTGTTGACATTTCAACCTGATTTTTATACATTTTAAAGTGAAAACAATGGAAATGTCAACTGACAGTAAAGTAAGTAAACAAACTTTTATTTCCAAAGGCAACGTGATATTATTTTGTGTATGTTGAAGTTAAAGCCAATGAATTTTGTGCCAAAACGTTTAGGACATACGTTTTTTTTATTCGTCGAATTAGATCTGTGGAATTATAAAATTTGACTGCATGGAAGGTGAACTTTCCTGGAATAGGTAAGAGTTAGTGGACTGGCATTGCAAAATTAAGCTTAGGTGCGAAAATGGATCCAGAGTGCTTGTTAAATATCGTCTGCGTTTTCGGATTTTGTTACACCCCAGAAAATCTACTAACGACAAAAATAGATGATATGAGTGCTCGGTCTGTAGGGTATGGAGAATCTCCTGGTCTACATAGGTCTGCGATTTTTTGACTGATGTTCAACACAGTTTGTGGTCTGGGCTTAAAGAAACTTTGTTGATCCGATTTTTGAACTGCCCAAGATTAGTTTTTTTATACACCAACTACCACGGAGGCCTATGGTCTAAACACCCATGGGGTACCGTGGGACTATAGGGGGATACATGGGAAAGGGGGAACGTCACACGGACTCTGATGAGGGAACACGTGTGCATGCAACATGCACACATCTTGGCCCCGCCTACGAGAACCGCCGGGTGGTACCTCCGCGTTCGACAGTCACAGACCGTCTACCACCTACGGACAATCACAACATCCATAGCCAAAAGAAAAAATTCTCTTGGGACGGGATTCGCACCCGCTTAGCGCACGGCGACTGATCAGGAGACCGAAGAGTCTACTACTGCGGCCACCGCTGCTGCCTGAATTTTCATTCAAAATTCCGCTAGTTTTCCCGTCTGCTTCATCACTCCGTTCTTCCGCATCTCCATCTTTTGTTTCAAGTAAGTCGCTGTCAACGTCATTTAAATGGATAACAACTTCGTCTACAACTCTATCAATAGCGGGCTCGTGCTGCATAAATTCTGTTTCAAGTTTTTTCGCATGCTCGCACCTAGTTTTCCATTCTTCGCGCGTAAAACGATTGAAAAACTCGTCGCATTGCTTTAAAGCGGTAGAAAATTTCTGGCTGCTACGTAAGACTTCATTGTTGCCCACAAGTTTTATAGGGTAGAACGGAGAAAACCGCCTGAATGTAAATTAAAAAGGAGCGGTCATATCGGCCAGTTCTGGATGTACGAAGTTCGACAGGGATAGGATGGGTGGCCGAAGTCAGAGGGCTAGCTGTCTGCTAGAGAAGAGTCATCACCATTTGCATAACATTTTCTTGCTAAGGCTCAAATTCAGTTTAGATGGAGCAAGTTTTTCGCACTCGTATTTCGTTACTTACTAAGTGACAATATATCGATTTTTTATTGGTTTTTTTTTTACATAGTAACCCTGGAGTTTCACAATATGCTCTCTTCCTTACGAGATTTTCATACGTGATCCACTTCATCTCCTGTTATTGGCAAAAAAAAGGTTTGATTCTGCTGCGTGCAAACGGAGATGTGCATGCGAACAATCTGTTATTGAAGTTCCTGTCACTTACAACTCGTCTGGCACCCATCTCGAATATTCCCACACCAATTCTAAGCACAGCTTAAATAACGATCAGCTATGAAACTCTTTTGTCAGTGTCAAAAACGGCCGCTATTGCGGCGGAGAAAGTCGAATGTAAATTCCCCCAGTACGAATATGAAAAACTTTTCAGTGCTCAGCATCAGCCGCTACATTATGTCATATCGAAATATTATTACCGGCTGCTGCTGAGCACTAAAACCTCTTTCATCGTTGTACTTGAGGAATTTACATTCGACTTTCTGACTGGAGAGTTTCATAGCTGATTTTTATCTAAGCTGTGTTCCTATCCTATATAGTAAATTATGTTAAAAGACGGAATGCGAACTTTAGACAATTTCATGTTTTTAGTCAAACAAAAAATTTCTGAATACATAGATATACAGGGTGTTTTCAAAGTCGAGTCATTTATTTTAACAGCTTGTAAAAGAAGTTGATATATCAAAAATCACCTATACGCATAAAAGTTGCATAATGAAATAATTAGTTTTCGTTATTAGAAATTATTTAAAAAATCATTATTAAGTTAAATGGATACCGTTTTTACAAAAACGACACTTTTCATGCTTCGAAAATAAAATGCTGGTGTCTACGACTTAAATCACAAGCATTTTTAGTGCGTTCTTGAAGTTCTTCCAGAGTATTTACTGCTACATCAACTTTTATATAAGCGATTTTTGATGAGTCCGACAAGTAGTTAAAATAAACACCTCAACTTTGCAAACACCCTGTATATTTCAATATATCTATAAATACCGAAAAGAGTATCATTATTTAGATAACGTGATCAACCGTTTCATCTTTATTCTCTGGTTACTCAGTCAGACCTCCTCCACATTGTACTTGTTGATACAAAAATGAGCGATTCAAACTGCACATACTTCTTTCATTTTCTGGCCTCCGAAAATACCAAATCGCAAAGTCTCATTAGCGCCTAAAGTGATTCAAAAATCATTTAGGTAGTAGGTTCTAATCATATTAGCAAATTTCCCCGAAATAATTGTAAAGTCTGGTTTTATTGATGCAGGTTGTTCAAGGGGGTATTTAAAACATGGATGCATAAAACGGGTACACCAATTTTTGAGGGAAAACTTTGTATTTGACAACAAAGAATGAGAAAACGCGTTTTTTGGGATTCAATCGAAAGTGTTTGCAGGAATGAAAAAACGTTTCATACAAGATATTGAGGTATTTATGAGTCCTACAAAATGAGACTACACGTAAAAAGATCCGATTAGTAGCAAAAATGTTATGGTCGAAAAACGAGGCAAAATGCAGCTTTTGGCACTTGGTAATGCGACGATAATTTCGCGCAACTAATTTGAAATTATTCAAATCCGTAGGATTCATACTTCTGAATAACAACAACAAAATTTGAGTGTATTGGTCAAGTAGTTTTTAGAGAATTTCTAATTGTTCATCCCAAAACACCTGTTTTCCGGCCATCACTATTAGTTTATTAAGCCAATATACAGGGTTTGTTCAAAGATCATTTAATAGCAAAATACACGTGCTTACCTTGCCGCTATGAATTACAAACCATTTCGAAAGATAAATGTTATTTTTATGAGAAAAACAAAGGTTACGTTTTGTTCTTCTAAACAAATTCAAACATTTCGTATTTGTGAATAATTGAACAAATGCGCTACAATATTGGAAAAACATACGTTATTATACACTTTTTAAAACAAAGTGGATGTGTCTATCATCTTTTGTTGCGAAATACTCCACAGCTAGTGTATTTAGCTATAAAATTCCCTTTGAACTAACCCTGTATATTGCTCTATAAACTAGTAGTGATGGCCGGAAAACGGGGATAAACAATTAGATAATCTCAAAAACTACTTGACCAATTTACTCCAATTTTGTTGTGGTTATTTAAGAGTACAAATCCTACGGATTTGAAGAATTTCAATTATTTGCGAGAAACCATCGTTGCATTACCAACAAGTGCCAAAACCTGCAGTTTGTCTCGGTTTGTCGGCCATAACTTTTTTGCTATTAGTCGGATCTTCTTACGTGTGGTCTCATTTTGTAGGTCTCATGAATACCTCAAAATCTCATATGGAAAAGTTTTTCCGTTCCTGCCAACTTCCTGCGACGTATTTGAAATTATATTGTGGTATCCAAAATCTTACATGCAG